GTATTCATTTCATTTTCTCAGATTGGGTATGTAACTGAACACAAAATATTAGAAAGCAAGGGAAAATTTTAATCAAAAACAGCCTAGTACTGTTTTTGATTAAAATCGCAAATGTCTGCAAATGAGGTTATGTATTCTAAATATTCCCTACGGCACATTTAATCTGAAAACTCTTTGATACAGAAAAGTCTAGGACGTACTATTTTTCCAAAAATTTATAATTTCTGAAATAATCGATAAAAGATATTAACTTTCTAGAGCGGATGAAGATATAAATCATCGTTGGTGTTTTGCAATTCCTGACTCAGGGTTTGTGTCTTACCAAACTTCCAAAGAAGTCCGTTGCGTAGGTTTTGAGCTGTGTTTTAAAATACTTTCCTTTATGATATGGATGAATTTAGGCAATAATTGACGCTGATTCATGGTTTTAGGTTCTACATACATATTTAGTTACTTTGGACTAATCTTGTACATCAGAGATTATTTTCCATAACTTTACATATTTTTGCATAATTTTCGATTTTCACTTTATTACTGTTTTAATTTGGACAATTATACAATTAATACGAAACTGTCATAAAAATGTCTTTAAAATCCCTAATTAAAATTCAATTACACATTATATTGTAGAGAGTACTCCGTTTTTAAGGAATAAATATCTCATTTCTTGCCAATACAATACACTATTTGTTTTTACTTCCCGAGTGTAAGCGAAGGAAGTATTGTAATCGAGTCCGTCGGCCGACTCTCTACTTTTACGTTCTCTTGATCTATCATGACCCCTACAGTACGAAGACATAGGTCTCCCATTTCCGTCTGTCTGTCCGTCTGTCTCCCGTCCCGGATTTTTATTAGACAGATAATCTCCGAAAGTACAGAGCCGATTGTTGTCAAATTTTGTATTTATATTAGGAATATGTAGATGGTAAAACGCTCACCAAAATTTGTCTAATCATCGCCACCAATAATGTGATGTCGTCACTTCAAAATTGTACAGTCTTATCTCAGCAAGTACTAGCCCCGCCCACCCGCCCCTATTTTCTCAGAAGATATGTCATTTGCCAAAATCAGTTTTATCTGAGAAAGTTCTAAGCCGGCCCGCCCGCCCCTATTTTGTCAGAGGATATGTAATTTGCCAAAATAAGACTTATCTTAACAAGTACTAGCAAGTACTATCCTCTGAGAAAAAAAAGGGCTGGTGGGCGGGTCTCGTACTTGTTAAGGTAAAACTGATTTTGCCCCTATTAATCTTGTAAAAACTTGTGAAATTTAAAGGTGCTAAATTGCAAATTTCCATATTAACGAATTAAACTCCTAAATCTACCCGAAATTTGCAAAATATCATGAGTTTTTACTTGTGAGTTATCACTGCATTCATATTTTTGGATTATACAGGTGACTCAAAAAATTAATGAATGTATCAATTCATTTTATTGATTAAATCAGGAACCGAACTTTAGGTGCGAGGGAAGTTCTGTCGAAACAGCTTTCGACCAATTTTTTATATACGTATTTTGATTGACCCCTTCGTAGGTTTTATAATACTTTATTTTCAAAATTCCGATGCGACGTTGCCACGTTGTTCTATTTTTTTTTTTAATTTTTTTAGCGATACGAGGGTTCACAAAAAAATCGCACGAGATTTATTTTTAAAATCTGTACAATATTTTGTGGAGAGATAAATAAAGGTACGCGCTTTGCGCATTGTGTTTCGATATAAATAAAATCGAGCTTTAATATACAGAGCGTTTATAAAAATACATTTATTTACTGCATTTTTTTTTTACTTTTTTGAGAGACGCATCAACATATTGAAAGCACGAGAACAAAAAATACAGTAACAAGCAGTAATAAAATATTTTATCAATAAAATATTGCAACACACATCTTAAAAATAATAACAAAATTGGAATAACACGGCAATGTCGCATCGAAATTTCAAAAATAAGGTATTGTTATAAAGTTTCGGAAGAGACTATTGAGAATCTTTAAACATATATACATTTACAAAAACTAACTTGTGTATTCAAAAACAAAACACTCTGTATATTCGAAAATAATTACATCTTTGGTCTCTGATTGTTTTTAATAAAAAACTAATTTTTCTTGTTTTTCATTTATTTGGAATCAATTTCAAATTGCAGCAATAAGAACAAAAAGTCAGGAGTGTTAATAACGTTTATACAGTTTTTAATAGCCCTTTATATTTTATTGAGTTATTTTCATTTTCACGTGTTTCAACACACATTCACAAGTATGCGACTCCGTGTCATGTTTGAACAATAAAGAGAATTTATTTTAATTTACATTGTTTAGTAATAATCTTATTTATGTTTATGAAGTTTATTCGAATATTTTTAAATAATGTTTTGTTATACCTGTTCTTACAATAAAAAATTGTTCAAGGGTAGTAGATAGAATTTCCCTCACATCTGAAATACAATCCAACAAATACTTCGAACAATGATAAAATCAAATTTTATGACAGCCCCTATAAATTAAACCAATAGAAGCATATTCATAAACCACATCTTTAGGATTGTTATTTTATAAAATTTAAATATATTTTACTATGCGAAATTGTTAGATGACGTCATCAAAATGTTGGTGGGGACAATCACACAAATTTTGGCTGTCGTTTTACCATCTGCATGATATTTCTAAAATACAAAGAGACGAGACAAACAGACGGAAACGGGAAAATTAGCATTTTATTTTGTTGGAAATATTTTATTCTAGTCAATATTCAATTTATTTTGATTTAAACTGCATTTAAAATCGCCCTAATATGCATTATATTTTCGTAACTTGAAAAGAAAATGAAAAGAAAAACATTTTTTTAATCACTTGATTTCAATCATGTTTTAAATAAATTAATGAGATATTGAGAACAGCATGCTTAGTGACTCACCCTGTATATACCAACATTGTCTAACGCTCGTTTGTCACCAGAAAAATTCATGAAGCCGATAATTCTTATTTTATTAATTTTTCAATTGCATATTTGGAATTATAACTCCAAACGTAGCAAGGAAAATCAAAACTTAGGAGTTTCAGTTAGGTTTATTCAGTTTTTGGTGGTGTTTGACATTTTACTGAATTATTTTCATTTTCATTTTCCACGTACTTTAACACACATTCATATGTAAGCCATTCCGTGTCATGTTTCTGCGAAGTTTGAACAACAAAGAGAATTTATTTTCATTTAGGTTGCTAAGTAATAATAAATCTTATTTATTTGTACAAATATACTCGAATATTTTTAATTAATGTTTTACTAAACCTGTTCTTAAAATTAAAAAAAAAGTCTAGGGTAGTAAACACAATTTCCCGCGGCCCTGAAATGTAGTCCAACAACTTCTTCGAAAAATGATAAAATTTTATTTTTTTATGATAACCCCTACAGATTAAATAAATCAGGAAGGATTCATAAACAAACTACAAGTCTAGGATTGTGATTTTATAAAGTTTAAAATAGCATTTACTATGCAAAATTGTTAGGTGACGTCATCAAAATGTTGGTGGGGATAAAAAATTTCAAAAATCCAGAATGATTTACATCAGTGATTTTATACAAAAAATTTGTCTCACGTTTTAAATGAAATTATTTAAATCGGGCCAACCTTGCTAATAATAAAAGTAATGAGATATCGACAACCGCACGCTTAGTGACTGACTCACCCTCTAGATATGAAAATTGCCCAGGGTTCGTTTACCACCGAAACCAGCAGTTCCGGAACGTGCAATAAAACTACCGATTTTCTATTTTTAAAATTTTTAATTTTTCGAAAAATTCTAAAAAAAATTACCAAACTGATTAATAAAAGCAAGTTATTTTTTTATTCTAGAAAAAAGTGGTACACGGTTTTAAAATTGTTGCAATAAATAAAATTTCGAATTTTTATCAAGTCTCGACACAAGCACAACTGACGTAATCTACCATTATTTCTTTTTTAACGTTTAAATTCCGAAGGCACTCTACCATTACCGTTAATAAAGACTATTATGGTAACAACTATCATAGGTATTGATTCCAATTATTTGTTTCGGTACTTTAGTATCATTGCATGAGTCAGTGTTACAAAATAAAAACTATCAGAATAAATATTGCAAAACCGTGCATGCGCTACTTCAAAAGCCACAACAAAACACCAGATTAAAAATAAGAACGTGTAAATTTTAACGAACACTCGATTTACTAATTTGCTACTACCATTAAAAAATACCTGAGCGATGTGTTACCTACTATTACATGAATACAAGTTTTTAGAAAAAAATATATTGGAAATCGTGTTACTTTAAATTCATACTCATGGTATTTTAATAATAATTAACTAATTTATAACTGAAACATTAAAAACTTAAGTTGAACTGAAAACTCGGCTTAAAAACCACCAACGAGAAGAGAACACATTCAACTCGGTAGTTACAGTTCAGATTTCAGGAAAATAAAACCAACAAACTCCGAGAATCCCCGGAAGGCAAGAAGCTTCCTTGTGGCACATCATTTTGCAACAAAGGAAATGATACGACAAAGGAAACACGATAACGTTCCAAAATGACAAATCTGTCGACTCAAGGCCTTTCCTTTCATTACCAAGAAAACCGGCAATCAAAAACGCGAAAACAATAATTTAGAAAGGTCAGGATTTTCCAGTTCCATAGAAACATTGGTTTATGACGTTTTCCAATAACGCCTTATCACAAATTTACTTGCCTGGAGAAATGTTTACAACTTGAAACGAAAGGAATTCATACTAATTAAAACTTTACAAGACATTTAAAGAAACACCGCCGCTAATAGCGATGTAATTGCCAAAGGACACTAATGCTGTTTTACTTCGAAAACACAAAATCGTAGTGTTTGCCATGATTCCGAATAACGACAAACTAATGGGCGCATGAATAAACAAATTGGTATTTAATCGACTTAATGACTAACAAAACAGTTCTCAATCTACTTCCACCACTAACACTAAAGAGAAAGACCAAGGTCTACGCAGCACAACCAAAGATGTCGTTGTCTGTTCCACATTAGCATTTCGTCCACAGTGCGCGGCGCAGTGAAATTATCCTCGTTAACAATAACAGTAAGATCCGGCGGATGACACGAGTCGGAGACCACAAAAGTGCAGTGTCGCAGTGCGTCCGATAAAACGACATTTTTGTGCTCAGTTCGAATCGGATCGGGTCCAAGGTGCACCGCTCTCCCCTCGACACGGTAAAAACGGCCTTCCCGCAAACCGCAATCTTAAAAAAAAACCAAAATCGAAAACAACAACAATCGAGAAAAACAATACAACAGAAATGACCTTGAGGCGCGTTTTCCGGCCTTATCAAACTTCGGTTTTTGGCGTATTCGAGTCCGGACGTGACGTTGACCTTTGGAAAATCGAAAGTCGCCGATCGAACCACAAAATAAATCTAATCTTTTAATTTAATAACAAAAACCAAAAAAAGGAAACATTGTCGATGAACGGACGTTTCCACCATCTAATAAGCATAAAACCAGTGAAAATATTCGAGTGATTTGCGTTCCGGATTATCGGTAACTTTCATAAGGAAATGGAACTCTCATTCACAATTACTTAACTGTTGTTACACACGGTAAAAACGTGCCGTCCTAGCTCGGAGCAAATTTTAAATAAAAACGAGCCAAAACACCGAATTTATTCCAAGAACACGATCAGGGTCAATCTGTTGCGTAAAAAGATAGCGGCTATCAAAATACAAGTTCAGTCCGAATCAAACAAAACATTCTAGGTTCAAGGAGTCACAAAATGATATTCCGATTTTTGCTGGTTTTTGGCACGATTTTGGTTGTGGCGCATGGTCGGGTGAGACAACTGGGAAAAATTGATGTGGATCAGCTCAGGTACGACTTCCTCGAACAAGAAAGCGCCTTGTGGAACTTCGTTCAAGACCAAACCATCAATAGAGTCAAAGAAACCGATCTAGCTGAAGTATCTTTAATTAGGGAGTTTGAGAAGTTTGGAGATAAAACTCAAGAGGTACTACCACAAAATGAAAAAAGTGACACTAAAATGTTCGTTTTTAAGAAATTTCCGCACGATATTAACTATGGATTGCAATCCCTGGAGGGCGTTTGGGCATACGCTTTTGCCTACACTGACCTAAGGGCGGTCTATGCTCTGTACGAGACTTTCCGGAGGTTCCAAGCTTTACAAACAGGAGAATCCAGGATACCTTCTCCTAGGCAAGCATGGATCGACTTAACACGGGCGATTCTGGAAGACCCCAAAAACAACGTCAACGAATCTCTGAATAGGTTACACTATATGGTCGAACAGAAAAATTTATTCGTAGCGGCGATGAAGGTAAATCGACATGACGGAATTTTATTGTCCACAAAAATAACAACAATAACGCAACTACGTAAACACATGGGGAAATATTTATGTGATGAAGTTTGTTATCGGCGGATGTCGATCGGTTCTTTAGTAAACAGTCTATAAAAAGAAATGCTAATAACAATAATAGTTGCAAGGAAAGTATTCCTTATCGGGAAGTATTAGTTTTCTATGTGGGCATTCAAACAAATGAAATCTACGGTTCACTGCTCAACACGAACTCAACTTTGATCACGTAACTCACATGTTGCGTTGTTTTGTCTGCACGATGATTGGAAATTATGTTAATGTTTGAAGTTCTTGGGGTGACTTGCCTCTAATAGTATAAGGAAGTCTTGTAATAGGGTCATTTTAACACATGTCTGTCATTCTAAATGTAGCTTTCCCGTTTCCGTCGATCTCTGTGGTCCGCCGACCATTTTATTAGACAAAGTTTCTGAAATTACCGAACCGATACTTTGAAACTATAGTGGTTGAAAAGGTCAGTTTTACTTTAGACTTGGCATCTGTTTTATTAAAAGCCGTCTTCTGTGTAGGAGGAAAATGTAATTCAATCATGCTGAACTCATCTGAAAAATATGTGGGGTCCCACAATGCAAACTTTTATTTTGCACTGTACGAATTTTTAATACGTCGCAAAAAACTGTCGCAATTGGTTATATTTTTCTAGGTGCTTTTTCATATTACCGAGAAGACACAGACCAATGAATTACGAATACAATGACAAACAAAAATTTACTTCCTGTAGGTTAAACATTCGTTGTTAATTAGCAGTTTTTTAAAAATTATAATTAGGGCAGTCATTACAGTATAATACCCAGGGTCAGGTATTACAGCATAAAACACTTAGTACTCTTCAGTTTAGAATGGACTAGTGACTTGATTGATAGTAAAAACAACAACCGAATCAATTGGCCAATAATGCAAAAACAATAGAAATCAGCGAATCCACACACCTATTAGTAGTCACCCACTCAACCGTACCTAACCATACCTTCCATTCCAGGAAGTCGAAGGCGATATGTTATGCAACGCGCATCAATCCCCTCAACAAGTCCTCTTCAGTCTATACAACGCCATAGCCCTCACCGAACTCAAAGGCTACAGCATGATCCAGTTCGCATACATGCTCAAACGACTCTACGGCGAAGGAAACTTCACCATGGAAGCCCAAATCGCCAGAGAGCGCTTCCAAGAACGCACCAACAAAATAATCGAAGCCGTCAAAGCCGCGATGGACTCTTCATCCAGAGACCTGTGGAAATGCGACCCCAAAAGACACATATCCGGTGACACCTACGTCGAAGTGACCCAGCTCCTGCAAGGCTACATCCAGAACGAAGTCGACTTAAATTCGGAGGGTACGTGCAGGGAGAACTGCGCCGAATACTCGTACACCAAAAGTCACGGTTGCTTCCAAAACTTGTGGTGCCAGAAACAGAGGCGGTGTCACGGTAAAGTGATCAACTGCAGGTACGTGGACTCGGATATGTGGATCTGTCCTGCGGATAACCAAAGCAGGCGGTACGAGTACGTGGAGTACGAAAACGGGCGCGTTTTGGGGAGGAAGCAAGGGTGCAGGAAGGGCACGAGCAAGGTCGATAGTTGGTGGAGGTGGCTGTTCTGGCACTGCTCGTACTGCTTCTGCTTGTGCGACGAACAGGGTATCAATTCCGATAGGTACATCAACTTGAGGCCTTCGATCGCAGACGTGCAAAACAATATGTAAGTTCGATAGTTTATTATCTTCGTATATATTAAAGGACCACCAACACCGCAATTTACCACATGTGGGACGTGTAGATACCGATATCTGGTGATAAAGGCGGGGTGTCACGTCCGGGAGATTTTATCTTTTTCGGTTTGTTTCCTTTCATGCTGCGTGGATTAAATAAGTATAGTAAAGTCCCCAAACAGTTGACTTTGTTTCCGAAAACCTTTTTTTTATGACACTATATACTTTTTGATTCTTGTAAAGCTTGTTTTCTGCACTTTGACTCCGCCCCGGTCTATGATTCTAACGCATTTTGATATGAAAACACACTCGTTTATATTTAGTCTGGAGTATATTTGTCCTTAAGAAATACTCAGGGCCGCTCAAAAGTTGAGAAGTTGATCAGGCAACAAGGCACAAGATGCTCCATTATATATTTATATCGATAAATGCCATTAAAAAATGGCCACTGCGTCTAAATTCGCGTAATTTATCCAAAGTTATTTGAAACAAATTCCTACTTCTCAAAATATTTGTGAACGAGCGTACTTTGCAAAACATAAAGATAGTATCAGTGGGTTGAAAAATTAATGCGAAAATTTCTATAAAAAAAAATGGCCGAAGGTTATTTCAACAGAACTTCCCTCGTCCCTCAAGTAATATTATTATTTTTTTTAGGTCATCCTGTATAAGCAATTCTAAAAAATATGAAGGGATGATAAATCGCAATGTTATGCACATTTTTGATAGGATGTATTCGTCAAAATTTTGAGATGTCGTCATTAGCTTTTAGGGAGGTCGAAACGGATAAATTTTGTTTAAGGATTCACCATGTTTTCAACAACCTTAAAACGTTTGTAAGCTTTCAGAATATTCGGTTTTGCAATTAAATGTTAGTTAAAATGTAAAATGTTATACAATTTTGTATATATTTTTTTTTCACAAAAATCTGGATGACTAGGGTAAAAACTCAACACGGATTCATAAACCGTACGTGGAAAATTACATATAATTTTAATAACATTACTATTGTAAATTGTAGAAGTTGTGGATGATGTCAAAATTGACATGAAATTTTGAATATTCTGTTTTTTAATACCAATGCAATAGTGCAAGTACGGAAAATGAGCTAGTTTCAATTCGATTTTTTTTTTATCATACCGCTTATGGGTGCATTACGGACAGCCTACATATTAAACGGCATCAGTTTTGCGTACACTACGGAGGCAGATGTATCGTCAGACTTAATAAACATAAAAAAAAACAGCACAAATATAGCCAAAAACCATCCCGATTAAACCAGCTTTCAAACAACAGACAAACAAAGGCTTCAAATTTAGGACAGACACCCACTATAACGTTTTTTTGTGACTTTTGTCCGCGACTTTACTAAAATAAATCCCCGGTTGGTGGATCTTTAAAATCACGTACCATCTTTGATTTGAATTTTAGGGTCGTAACTGGACTGCGTTTCGTCAAAAACAACCGAATCATCCACCTCCAGATTCAAGAGGGCAAACTTTTACCCCGTGGCAACATCGACATGTCCACCGTCCACTGGGTCCCAGTGGAAGACTACAGAATAACCGACTCCCACGTAGCCAACGGCCAAGACTACCACACCTTAACCTGGGAGAAGCGAGCTGTGGATCTCGACGACTTAGTAGCCGACGACGGATACGTAGTAACCGGCGTCCGCTTCAAAATGATCGGCTCCCACTTAAACTTCGAGATCTACATAACCCCCTTCGACTTCGAAACCGGCGAACTCATAGACCCCCAAACCAAAAGCATGTACAAGGACAACCCCAACACCGACTCATCTTTGCACAAACCGAGGCAAGTCCCCTTGTATCACTTTTCACCTAACTAATTCAAATTCTAGTTTTCAAGGTTTATATAAACCGTTCCGTTTGTAAGTACGGTAGCGTTCGTTGCAAGGTGGTTCCGTTAAATACATGTGGATTTTTTTGCAGGACTAGAGTGAGACTCATCAACCCTGATATTAGCACGAGGTCGCCGTCGCCTTCCGTGCCGGATTCGAAAAGTGACCAGTACATCGAGTTCACGAACACGGATATGGATCGCGACGCTGCTCAAACGACGGTGCCGTTTTTGGACGCCCAACCCGTGGATTCGCTCCAGCCAGTGCCGCTAAGTGGTGCCGGTATTTTCCACAAGGGTCAGAAGTACTTCGGGGGTTTCATCGCGCCGAAGCTCATCACCTACGACTTCAGCAAACACCTGCAGGTCGCGTTTCCCGAGACCGAACCCCCCATCAATTAGCGTTCGCTGCGACGACCACTAAAATCTAGTTTAAGTTCAATTCAAATATGTAATACTGTGATTTAGTGTCGTTATGTTTCGAGTCATTGTATGATTATACTAGTTTCCTCTTTTTGTATGATCCAACGAATAGAATAATTATTTATATGGAATTAAAACGGCGTAATTAATTTCAATCGGACCTATTGGCCTTGAGTGTGAGCTAATTTCAATGGAACAGAGTTTAGATGTGTTTGACCTCTGATGAATGTAAATGTTATGACAGAGGTGGTTTACTACAGCAACGTCGCGGTATGACTCGAAATAAATACGTTTATTTTTACGTGTAAATATATTTAGAAACTTGTTAGCGTTTCATTACTTGATTGATAATTCTAAGAATAACTCCCGTCAACGCTGCATGCATTTGCATAAATATGAAACCTGGTGGAAAATCAATTGTTTTCACTTTCACAACTTGATGTTATAAATGGAACACTAAAATATTCTTTTTTATGGTTGCATATCGTCATCGTTGCGAAATTATGACGTTTAGTGTAATGTTGGCTGCCTACACGCAACACATCAGATAAATTCACTTTCCCTTTCAACGATCACACTCATATTTACAATGAAAGCATCCATAAAAATATAAATAATTTTCTTCGTTTCTAAAAGTGGCACATGACAAATTTCGTGAATAAGCAGAACTCCCACTTCATCACAATAAAAACGACATAAAAAGAGAAATTAAACCCACTTACCTGGACCCTGAGAGGATGCAAAATCATCACCAGGAGATCCTCTTTTGGTGGTAGGACATCATTCAAGTTGATTCCCTGTTTGGCTACCGCTTGGCAAAGGAAGACCGAAAAGTAGCGATGCAATGGCAGATGGAACGAAACTTGCAAGTTGTCGTTCTAAAACAAACGACACGACATTATAAAACGAAAGACTATCTAAGTGCTTTTATAGTCTTTTCTATTTTAACATTAAACCTAGCTTTTATTCTTCCGTTGTATTAAGAATCAATTTTTGTTTGGCAAAGTTCCATAATCAGTCCAACTCAAGGTTTCTTGGTCCGGCCAAGAGATAGACAGTATCTTGATATTGATTTATCCAATGAGGATAATAATGATGAATATTTTATTACCGGGAGATTTAATGTTATTAGACACTTCCTCATTAAATAACATACAGTTCCGAAGTTAAGTGGCTGCATAAATAAATTTTGTACAATTACCCTTGTAGCGGACTTCATTAAATTACAATGAAATGAAAAAACCGCAAGGACACTATCCTCCTTTTTAAATATTTCTAGTGACTCGAAAGTATCTAGAAATTTACGTTTGTATTTTTTTAATACCTTAGTTAACGCAAATATAAATTTATATAAGCTGTCCTTTTTGGCGACGCAAATAGCCGTTACCCTTGAATTTAAGACTTAAATTGCATGTTTCAAGTCCACTTGCAGTCAAATTCTAGTGTTCGCCAAAAAACTCATAAACTAGGAATGCGTTAAATTGTCTCGGCAATTAATGCACCTACTCCCAAGGTTTTAATTAATTCGACGACGAATTAAATAACCCACCTAATAAACAAACTAGTTTTTCAATCAAAAATTCATTGGAACTCGTAAAGAAATCGTTTTACATGACAAGTTGTTATTTTGTTAGTCATCAGTCGAATTTTAATTTATGTTGATTCGAAGGGGCTGGTCTCAATTCAACAGACAATTTCTCTACGACGAATCGAAATTGTCGTTTTTACACACTTATGATGAGAAATGTTACATCATAATAGGATATAATCAGCAGAAATTACAGAATCGCAAATTCACCGTTTCCTATAATAAATGGATTATATCAAGTTCACAAGTCTAAGTTCGAAAAAATGATCTAAAATTCCTGACGTCAATTTGACGTTCACTTACAAAAACAAAATATCGATTTAAAACGTGAAAAATTAGCCACTGTTGTCAGATTCATCCTAAAAAATGTTTGAGTTTCTTGTTATACCGGGTGACTTCAGTACGTTATTTACGGGGGTTTCGGGAGTGCCAAAAGTATATTATAAAAAAAATTGATCGAAAGCGTTTGGACAGAACTTCTCTCGCACCTAAAGTACACTGAAACATCCAACATTTTTGAGTTGAGTTTTTACTTTACAGAATTTTGTGATGACGTCTTCAACATTTTTGCAAAGACACGTATATCAACTTGGATTGGTGCACTGTAATACTGAAATTAACAGTATTGGATTCCTCAATTTTCTGGAAAAATGAAGTGAGCCGTTCCTGATTTAATCAATAAAATAAATTGACACATTCATTAATTTTTTTGAGCCACCTGTATAAACAAATCTAAAAAATATGAATGCAATGATAAATCGCAAGTAAAATCTCATCATGTTTTGCACACTTCGGGTAGATTTAGGAATTTAACTCGTTACCATGGAAATTTGCAATTTAACACCTTTAAATTTCACTAGATTTTACAAGATTAATGGGGAAAAATCAGTATATCTTAACAAATACTAGGCCCGCCCACCCGCCCCCTATTTTCTCAGAGGATGTCATTTGCCAAAATAAGACTTCTGTTAGCAAGTACTAACCCCGCCCACCCAATCCCATTTTCTCAGAAGATTTGTCATTTGCCAAAATAAGACTTATTGTAGTAAGTACTAGTCCCGCTCACCCGCCCTTTATTTTCTCAGGGGGTAGGAATCGCTAGTACTTGATAAGATAAATCTTATTTTGGCAGATAACAATTCCTTTGAGAAAACAGGGGCGGGTGGGCGGGACTAGTACTTTCTCAGTTAAGACTGACTTTGGCAAATGCCATACCCTCTGAGAAAACAGAGCGTGGGTGCGCGGGGTTAATATTTGCAAAGATAAAACTTATTTTGGCAAATGGCTGAGACAATATAGGGCGAGTGGGCGGGGCTAGCACTTGCTATGATAAAACTAATTTTGCCCGTATTAAACTTGTGAAAACTTGTTAAATTTAAACGGTGATACATTGAACATTTCCATAGTAACGAGTTAAACTCCTAAATCTGATTAGATATTTATTTTTTAACAACTCAGGCATTAATTTTTCTGAGATACTCTGTATAAGCAAATTTAAACAATATTAATTATTTATTAAAAGTAAATCACAAGTATAGACTCATCATATTTTGTACATTTTAGATATATTCAGCAATATTTTGAGGTGATTAATTTTTTTGTGTCACTCTGTTTAAGCAACTTAAAAAAATATGAATGCAGTTATAAATCGCAAGTATAGACGGAGCATTTATCCTGCAAAATTTTGAGATGACGTCATCAATTTTTAGAGGGGATAAGCAAATATAGTTTGATTAAACATTTATTATGGTTACCATGAATTTAAAACATCTGCAAGGTTTCAAAGCATTCAGTTTAGCAAGAAAAATCTATTAAAGCAAAACCAACTAAACACTAAAGAAGATGTTCAAAATTTCTGCCTTGTGGATATAAGTAACCTCGTAATGTTTCCAAATTTTGATCATGTTTTGTAAAAGTTAGTCATCAGTACTTGCTAAGAAAAAACTGATTTTGGCAAATGAGATACGCACTAAGAAAAGACAGGGTGGGTGGGCGGGGCTAATAGCTGCTAAGATAAGAGTGATTTTGGCAGATAACATACCCTCTAAGAAACGACAGGGTGGGTGGGCGGGGTTAGTACCTGCTAAAATAAGATCGATTTTGGCAAATGAAATACCCTCAAAGAAAAGACAGGGCGGGTGGGTGGGGATGGTATGTTCTAAGATAAGACTAATTTTGGCAAATGACGTCTCCTCTAGGAAATTTACATAATTAAATTATTATAAGAAAAGGCACTAGAGGCTCCAAAGAACTTTCAAATTCTTTTCAAACAGAAATACCTAAAACTTCAAAATTGTGTTAAATTTTTCAAAAAAAGGGGGATCCAAAATTAACTGAAAAACAGGTCAGGTCAAAATAAAACATCGAAGTCCCCAAAATTGTTTTAAATAATTTACAAAAAAAATCTGCATCGGCTCCCAAAATAATACATGGGTATTTAAGAGTCTTCCGAATTGAAAAAAAAAAAAGAAAAAACATTGCGACACTCAAGACTTTCAAATTCGTAAAAAATAAAACACTCAAAGCTCAAAACATTTTCTTTAAATCATTTAGCAACCAGATTCCTTTAAATTTATCCGAAAATATTGACACCTAGGGGCCTAAAATTGACTGTGAACATTTTAAACGTAGGGTTTTGAAAATCTAGCGGAAGGTTAATCCGCCATTTTCCAGACACCCGGTATTACAAAGTCAAGAAAACTATGGATAAAACCAAGATCTCCAAAAAATTATTTTAAATAATGAAAGACCGATTGATTTTAGGTACCCAACACAAAATAGTCAAACGAAATATGGTCAAATTTGGAAAACAAAAATTAAACTTTGAAGGGCTGTATCTTCCATCTTTGGACAAAAGAATTTTTTAATTTATTTTTCTCTGTTCCACAAACGTGAACGTGTCGTAAAGTTGGCGCTCAATTTTCTAAACAACCTGTATATGAATTGTTAAATTGATTAAAGCAGATTAATTGTTGCATATTTTGACGATCCACGACATATTTTGTTGAAAAAAATCGAAACAACATTTTTCCTAAAACGGTTTCTTAGGAGGCAATAAAATTTATAGCTAATGATTTCCGTTTAGTGAAACATAACATATGAACCCAACTTTTTCGGTTTTTCTGATATTTTTGTAAATAAATAGACCTGGAATTTTGATTGTTGCAGTTTACGTTAGCTAGTTTGATTTATAAGTGGTTTTTGTCTTAAGTCATGAAAGTTTAACTAGGCAGATGTCAACTGAGCAAACAGTATTTCACAGCTAATATTGGCAAATACACATGGGGAGAATAATTCGACAAAATATTTCAAAGTCATCCATAACTAGACATTGCATAAGGCCGGTGGTAGTAAATTTTGTTCAAGATACCCAAAGTGAAAACAACTTTAATAAATTCATGGATAAAAAAATTATCCTGAACTTATTTCAACTGACGAAAATGTTTCCTGCAGGATGTGGGAAAGTGGTAAGTGTTTTTTTTTTTTAATTTATATTACATATTTTTTAATACGACTGCTGTAACTTGTTTTTGTCTTGAAATAAACATTTTTTAATTTTATTCTTTAGATAACATGCGAGTCCAAGTTCCAAATATCACAACATGTTTCAACACAGCTTCATAAAAGGAAGTGTCAAAACAGGAAGTATTTAATTTAGAATTATGTAAAGCAATGCTTAGTGTCTATATTACTCTTAAAAAGCAACAAGACCCTTGATTCAAAGCGTTTTTAGAAAAATCTAGTAAAAATGTTATACCCCCCGAAAATCCGCATAGGAAAAATTATGTACCAAATATTTACAATGGAACTATTTCTGGTATTAAAGAAATTGTAACAAACCAAGTTATATATTTTGTAGTGATTGAAATCTACTGGTAGGTTATTATTTAAGTAGTAAAGTATCCAGTAAATATTATTTGACTACATATAGACAATTTGAAAAAAACCTATACTCCGGTTACCGAACAGATGGAGCTGTAAAAGTGCGTGATCTTCAGGTGATTTTTTAAATTTCTACTATTATTGGTCGGGCTTTGCTTTCGTTTTAATCGTTTATTCGACATCCTGTAAATCAATTTTTTTTTTTGCAGACTCTTACTTAGTTTTGAAAAGGAAAACCAAGTCGAGCCTCTCATTATAAAACTAGGAGAATCAGATCCCTACTCTGAATTTAGTTGAAATTTGAACAAAACTTTACGTTCAATTTTGATGTTATCGTGTAAGCTTGAACGCTCACTTTGAAGGTGCACGTGGTCACTCCATCTGTTCGACAAACCACTTAAATTTCTATCAAACTTACCATATTAAGACTAGCAAAATTGATAGCCTCCAACCAGGTTTTCAGCTGCTTCAAACACGCCGTCAGTACCTTCCTCGTGAGAGGAGCAGTCTCGGCGTCCGTCAAATGAGAAACCAGAGCCCACATGGGATAAGCACTAGCCTCCAACTCGGCACTGAACGCAGCAAAATAAGTATTGGGCTCATACTTGATGTGTTCCTTCGTTTCTCTTTGATTCACATTCATGCCTAAACAACAAACCGAAATTCACCACACCACGAACGAAGCGACCCAAATCAAACCTACCTTGAAACATGGCAAGAAACCCGAACCACATTTTGATTAAATGATCATCCGACATAAACTTCAAAGCGACAGGTCTATGCGATAGAACATTATTCAAATCGGAAACTAAAGGCCAGTAACAATGTTCTGTCATCACTCTCTTGCTACAGTCAACAACGAGGTGGAAGTTATGCCCTGGATCTACAACTCAAACAATAAAATCACGACATTCCCTAACCCGAACCAACTCACCGTGAAGACTGCTCATCACCAAAATCTTACTCATCATGTACCTCAAGCTGACCACCATCACGTGCAATAAATTCAATTGTTCGGTCATTCGTAAAGCTAAACTCTCATTGGAAAATAACTGCACGCTAGCGTGCACTACCCTGTTGCTCACGTTTTCAGGATCGTTGGTCCTTTCTAACATCATGGATATTCTGCTATAGTGCAGAACGATGGCTCTCATCAGAGCCTCCTTGTAGTCGGGATCGGGCAGCATATTTAAAAGCAAGCACACAACTTTTTCGGGGAACTCGAAAAATACCGTCCAGAAGACCAGTTCTTCCAGGAGCGTCTTATGGACCAGGTTTTTATGAAGCGAGGGACAGTCTTTGTATTCTTCGAGGGGTTCGGGGTTGGCTATCGACTCCATGGCTTTTTCGTATATCTTTTTCGATTCAGACACGTACATGTTGTAGTCGTAGTCGCTATTCGGGTTGACGTCGGGGACGTCGTTCAGATCTCGGTATATCTGGGAAAAATGTGATCAGAATAGAAATGGTTTATGTACAATCAAATGATTTTTTTGATTTGTAATCTAGTTTTGGCTGCATATATGTCACCAAATTACGTATGTCGTATCTTAGAACGTACACTTGTGTTGTGGTGGGTTGCCTATAATATCACGGCTTAACAGCATAAATTGTGCTTTGTTTTCCTTTTTGCAAATTCGTTATTTTTCCAATTTTCGGCAAAGTCACTCTTTTTTCTAACTACATTGTTGTTTGAGACTGAATCAATACTTTCTGGGTGTGTTTTGGCACAGAAGCAGAATTTTCATCTCGAGGAAAATGATCTCTGAAGATCATAAGAAATTCATGTTTGAGTCTTACTTCCGTAACTGCCAACAAGTGAATGATAAGAAAAATTCCTCGGTGTTGCAGTTCTTGAAGCTAAGTTTTTATGGATACTAAGTTATGCCATAAAATTATTTCATGAAACTGGGAGCATTAGAGGAAATCAGGAAGTCCCACATTAACAAAACTGAATCACAAATCAAAAAAATCACTCGGTATAAAACGTTTTGGATATTTAGCGGACACGACGTAGTCTCTTACTTGTGGGTTGGTTAAAGCTGAGGTCATGACGCGTCTCATTAATGCACCCATGTTGTTGAAGTCGACGAGCATGGTGATGTAGCTGTCCGCGTCTTGGATTGGCCCTTTTATGTGGCTGGAAAAAAATCCAACGTTAAAATTATGAACTCGGAGTTAATGTGAAGTTGCTTCAGTTTTGCAAGACAGAGACACGAAAACAAAAGAGACGGAGAAACATAAACCGCAATAGCAACTTTTGTTTTTATGACAAGTGTTAATTTTCTTAGAAAAATAAAAAATTTCATTCAATACAAGCTAGATGAAAAGGGGAGGAGTTGAAAGGTGTGTTTACAAGGTTACAAACATGCCACTGAATGTCACCTACTTCATAATTAACAACATTTTATGGAATCCTGTCGTTTTGACCCGTGTACAGTTTTGTACATGTGATTTCATGTTATGTTTACAATGTTTAAAAAAAAAATACCAATCATCATAAACATAAGTCATGTTCAGGAGTGGGAGCTAAATGTTTCTAAAGACACATAATTATAATATCCCGAAGTTTATACACTTTTGTTAAATCGCTGATCAAAATTCATTGTGGCTAAATAATGATTTTCAATTGTCCTTCATCGAGATAATGAAGGTTTGAACACTGATAGCCTGGCGTTTAACACGTTGATATTATCGTTATCTTCAAGTGAAACTACAACTGTTGCAAACCAACTAGTAGTTGTACTTTTAAGCTGCTTTTTCAATTACTCCAATTCCATTTTTATTTGACTTTGAACTCTTAATACAAAAATAATCTCTGTATTTAAACAACCCAAATTGATACTGAAGTATACATACACAACACAATCAATCCGGCTCAAATGGACCGTTATCTTGAGGCATGATATTAACAAAGGATTGAAGAGGAGTCATCATTTAGTATTATAACATGACACAACAAGAGTGAACGAGTTTTTTAAAAATACTACAAAGAGCTACCGCTACGAGGCGAGAAATCGAGAAATAACCAACCTTAAGAAGATCAAAAAGTCTCTATTAGAAAGTTATAAAAGGGATGATTAAATTGAAAAACAGCTCTCGATTCGCTCATTCAAAAGAAACTGAATAAAATACGCAGAAAATTGTGGAACTGAGGCAAAATTAAATATGTAAATGATACACTTTTCAGAGTCTCTGGAACCTGTTCACGCACACGCATCAAATTATTTTACTTCAAGGTGCTTTCGCTACCAAGAAATTAGTTTCAATGATATGTTATTATTTATTTACACGTTAATCATTAATTCTTATAAAAAGACGACGAGGAGATAATTACTAATACTATAAATGCAAACAATGTGAACGACTGAACGGTTTTATTAAAATTGTGTCAAGATTATTGTTTTTTTTTTGTCGCATAGCGTGAGAGTGGAAAGAAATACTACACAAGCATACCAGTCTCATTTTAATAATTTCGTTAGATAACGTCATCAACTTTCTGAGGAGGGTGAATAAATAAACTCACCTATTTTCTGTAACCCCAAAAAGTGTATAACCAAAGCTTCAAAAAAGTCCAAGGTGGACTATTACAGCACAACGAAAAGAGCATATCGTGACACGCATTTCACGTGAGACTTACGTAACAAAATTTTGAGATGGTGAACGGAATGAATTGACAAATTCTGGTTACTAAGCCGAAAGATTTAGATCCTTCGAAAAACTCCAATTTTGCTTTTCATATTGTACGAATTGTAAATCGTCAAGAAAACTTATTATAAAACAAGACAATGAAATTCACATATTACAAGTTGCATATTGTAAGATACATGGTAACAAAATTAGTAACGGAATCGTGTAAGTTTGGGTCTTCTTTATTTGATTTACTATAATTTATAAAATTCATTTAAAAAAAAAAGTATAAACACAAAAGCCATATTCTTTTTGAACACTTAAAGCTGTTGCTACGCTGAAATGAGTACGAATTAGCGCCGGCCGAAGCTCCGTAAGAATAATGATAAAATGATGGCTTGTAGTGGCAACGTAAAAAATTGATTGCTTCTTCGTTATACAATATTTCTTCCATGTGTTTAATAATACTGAAAGAATAAGGCTCAAACGAAGTTGATATAGCACAAAACTTTGTTTATGAATAACAAAATATTCTGTTAATACCACAGATAATTGTATATCTGTAATAGATGTGTCCTTCCTGTTCGTTACCTTGTTGTACAATTAGAAAATTCATAGTTGTGTTTAATTTCATCAAGCTGAAAAACAGAATTGAGTAACTTTTTATAGAACTGTTATGGTTTGCTCAGGTGATGAGTGTTGTAGTTTAATTCGTATGAAAACTGGAGAAAAATGGCCATATTTTAACTTCTCAATTCCAATATAGTTATTTAAAGATGGAAGTCTAGACTTTTACACAGAACTCTTTAGTACTCTTATTAGTTAATTGGTTTTTTATGTTAAGAATAATTCCAAAAAACTATTAAGAGAAACTTAATACAAAAATTATATTAAAAGGAAACTTAATAAATAATTGTAAATTTGGTCACTCTGTATAAATAGGAATATTTCAACCATTTTTCCAAAATCGCCAAAATGAAATATGCCCATTTGTGGAATACGTGTATATCATAGAATTTTCTGTGAATGTTTAGGCAAGTTTACCAAAAGCTCAAATTTTCAATGGTCCCCTTGTTTGATAAGATAAGGTTATTGACATTTACTTAAACAGATTTTAATTGTTGATTTCGACTTGCAGATTGTACATATCGTATGAAAAAATTTCAAGATAGAAAAATTGAGCTTCATGCAGTTAAACAAAAACCTAAAAGCTTTACCTCGAGGATTTTTTCTGTGTAGTTAGGATTCCTTGATTCTACTAAATTAGTTCAACATATTTAAAAAATTTTTGGCAATACGGTATATTTAAAAAGATAAAATTGTTTTTTTTAACTAATATACATGATTTAAAAAAAAACAATACTTGTCATGCCCCAGTTATTATGTACTGTTAATACAGAGGAGAAAAATTATGTATGGTTAATACACAGGAGAAAAATAGGTTTCTTTTTATTTTCAATAATTTCATCATCGCCAATTTTTTATTTAAACATAAATGTTACTGGACAATTTCGAGCATTAATACGATGTATTGCTGCAACAATCATTAATCAATAATATAAATAACAAAATGTTTTACATTTTGGAAAAAAAAACTTCAAATATTTTGAAGGATCATTTCGACACTTTGCTTGTTTGTTTATTTTATCATATCAGAGATTATTTTGACACGTTTAAAACGTGCTAACTTCAGGTGACGTCTAATCCAGTTCTTTCGAAAAATTAAAAGATTTGATTTTGCGAATTTCGAAAATTTTGTGTTGATCCACATTTTTGCAGGGACGCATATATCAGTTTTGTATCCTTGAATAGTGATTTATTATAATCAATAAAATAACGAAACAATTTAATCGCGTCTGCCGAGAGGTGCGACTGAAGATTGAACTGAAAATCATTTATGGTACTTGTAATTTAAGACAAATAGTGATAAAACTCATCAACCTGTAAAGGTTAGAGGGAAACAGAAACTAAACTAAAATATGTTTTCGACGAATTGCAATAACCGGATCACAATGCCGACGATCCGGACTTTTTCATTGCTCTGACTTCCGCTTATTGAATAAAACACTACATTTTATTTTGATTTTCGATGTTGTAATTCACATTTGGTTAATTATAACTTGTCTAGATCTAGCTCAGGATGCCCTGGCATCCCCCTAACTACGGCCTTATCTAGGGGTTATGAAATATCGAAAAAATATTAAAGTACCAAATTGCCCGACGGACTCTATTATTGTACGTTTTTAGCTTATCCTCGAAAAGAAAAACAACTTGAAAGTGTTTATGTTTCTACATCGGCAGAATGTCACGTAGACATTAGTTTGATTTGAATGTGTTCGTCCCCTCAAAACAAAAGATCAAACCTATTAAGCAGTAAGCTACAATCGAGAAAACGTTCGGAATTTCTTTATTATAATTCTTAATAAATAAAGACGTTTGTATTTTCACATTTTCGAGAAAATGGGGTGACTCGTTCTTAATTTGATCAATAAAAAATATTAATGCAATGATGAATCACAAGTAAAAACTCATCATATTTTGCACATTTTGGGTAGAATTTAGTCAGCAAAATTTTGAGATAACGTCATCAATCTTTTGGGGAGAATAAACAGATACATTTTGAGTAACAATTTTACCATGCTTACAATGACTTTAAAAAGGTCTGCAAGATTTTAAAGCATTCAGTTTTGCAATTCTTGATTTATTCAATAAAATAAACTGACTAATTTATCAATTTTTTTGAGGCATCTGTATAAGCAAATCTAAAAAATATGAATGCAATGATTAATTACAAGTATAAACTGATGAGACTGATTATATTTTATTTACCATGCTTATGATAACTTTAAAAGATCTCCAAGATCTCAAAGCATTCGATTTTATGGTTCCTGACTAAATCAATAAAATAAATTCATGCATTCATTAATTTTTTTGGTTCACCCTGTATAAGTAAATCCAAAAAATATGAATGGAATGATAAATCACAAGTACAAACTCATAATATTTTCTACATTTTAGATAGGATTTACTCGGCAAAATTTTGAGCTGACGTCATCAATTTTTTGAAGGTGATAAGTAAAAATTTATCATGCCTATCATAACCTTAAAACATCTGTAAGATTTCAAAGCATTCGGTTTTGCAGATTTAAAATTAAATTGCAAAACGTTTTATAATTTTTTTTTTCCTAAAATCTGGACATTTCCGGTAAAAACTCAACACGGCGTCTTAAACTACATGTGTAGGACAATGTTATTTTATACAATTTAAAACCCATTTACTTGTACAATTTTGAAGTGACGTCGTCACATTATTGGTGGGGATGATTAGACAAATTTTGGTTTACGTTTTTACATGATATTCCTAATATAACTACAAAATTTGACAACAATCGGCCATGTACTTTCCGAGATTATCCGTCTAATAAAAGTCCGCGAAGGTAGACAGGTAGACAGACAGACAAACAGACAGACAGACGGAAAAGGGAGACTTATTTCTTCGTACTCTAGGGGTCATAAAAGGTCGGAAAAACGTAAAAGTGGAAAGTCAGCCAACGGACTCGATTAAAATACTTCCTTCGCTTACTCTTGGGAAGTAAAAACGTACAAAATCTTGGACAGTTCTATCGTTCCGGTGATATAATCTATAAAACAGACTTTACATACTACTAATAATAACCTCAATTTTTAAATTTCGCATATTTGTCATTTTGACGTAGATTGGAATGCACGATATACGTAATTACAGTGGGTTTAAAAAAAAAATACCACTTAGAACAAGTCGACGTAGGACGCTAAAATTCGTAATAACAGCTCTTAGATAGATTAAAAGATAAATCTTAACTTCTTCAGATGATATTATCAATCATGTTACTTTTATTATAAACTCTTCTAAAACAAAATTTTTGAAAAATTAAGCCACGACATGCAAGAGATGATTTTACCGTTTCGTAAAATCGTTAATAGGTTAGAACAGACACATCTTAGACCCTAGAGTGTAAAAATATGGCGCAATTGGCAGGAGGAAAACGCCAAAAATACAACAAGGAGGAAATAGACGTGTCAAAATCGCTCAAAAACGTACAGACTCTAGAAGAAGCGTTATTCAAAACTTTTGGAGCCCATCGCCAAGTTCCGACATAAACTGAATACAAATCTAATATATTGTTACGTTGAACGGGTGATTGAATTCGGCGTAGGTTAAAACTCAACAGTTTATTTCTTACTCTAATTACAGAGATTATGTACAAAATAACTCCGGCGTAGCTGAATCTTCGTAACATTCGCTGGAGTCGTGGTTCGACTGAATGCCTGCTGTTCCCGACGGTGGCCTCTATTTAAACCTATGAGTGCCTCTCGATGGATTCAGAACGCCGCATCGAGAGTTTTCTGGGCCCGCAATCGACACTTCCGGTAAGCCGCTCCGGATTGTGTAACAATATAAAATTCTCGTGTCACAGTGTTCGTAACCGAACTCTTCCGAAACGGCTTGACCGATTTTTATGAATTTTTTTGTGTATATTCGGTAGCTCTGAGAATAGGTCGTAAAGTATTTTTTATACTCCTAAGTGAGAAGGGTGGCCCACCCAAAACAATTTTTCTTTACCACGATAAATCTCAAAATGCGATAACTGCGGTTAGTAAATTGATATGTGCAAATGTAAATGAAAACGATATCAAACAAAAATAATGTCCTAAACACTTAACCAACTTCAGAAGTTTGTTGCATATCCAGGAACATAAACATGACTACTCTTTCACCTTGCGGAATATAAACGACAACATTAACAACTTTAAATACATAATAAATTACAAAGTAAAAATCTGGGATCTGTATTTGATACCAGTCATAAACGAAAAACTCAACTCATATAAATATGATGCAAATGAAATTAAATACTTGACAGCTTCGTTCGCGAGCTGCGGGTATTCTTGCATTCTTTCCGTCCAGCTTATAAGAAAAAAATCTAGTTAAACATTCATTCGCTTGTTGAAAGGAATTCTCTAAAATCGGATTCCATATGCATCTGTAATTATCGTAACTGTTTTGAATTTATTTGGGGAATAATTGCAGAGCTGTTGTTTTAAACTCTGCAAAAACATGTTCAGACTTTATCAGGAATGGAATAAATAAATTACTTTTTCCCAGCCTAACACTGCAGCTTTGCCGACTAGTATTCAAAAGATTCAGTATTCGAAAATATTAACAAATAAAATCAGCCTAAGAAGCAAAAGAGAATATAAAAAGGGTTCCATATTTTTTAAATACAAGTCTGTAAAGTCTCCCGAAGCAAAAAACAGTGCAGCCATATGACATTTGCGGACGGGAGCGAACGACCAGGCAAATAGCCAGTGCACTTGAACCTCCCCTCGGAATGATTAGCATTCAGATGCGTAACTGTATGGTACAAAAATAGGTTTGTTTCCTTCAAATTCAAGCAGGTAACAAACAACACATTGGTGTTTTAATGTGAAGTTAAGTACCACAAGAGTGTTATTTATTTAAATACTTAAATACTCTCATGCACGCATAGAACTTGCAACCTACCAATTCTCCCTAAGGTGCAGAATGAACCTGAATATGATCCTCGGCATCATCGCCTCGGCCACACACATCAAGTCACGCGGCGCCTTCCCCTTGTTCGCGCACTTGTCCGGTCCGTGGCGATCGCAGAACCTGTCGAAAAAGCAAATCGCATCGAAACGAGTTCCTCCGGAAATGCCATCAACTCACCCTGTCTCCTTCATCACCGACGTATCTCCGCAATCGCAAGCACCTCCGGCCTGGCTCAGGAACATGTTGAAATCGTGCCTCTGATGGTTTCCTTTCTTGAAACATTCGGTGCACAGCGACATACAGGGCGAAATGCCGCACGTGCGACATCTGTAGGCCACGAAATTCGGTGTCCAGACGAGGCCGCAGGTCGTTTGGTTGTCGTACGCCCGAACTGTGAAACAGATTTATGGCTGCATAAATAATGGATAATCGTGCGCTCGACAAGATATAAAAACTTATTATTAATAGTTTCGCAAATATCGCCGTTTTTGGTGGAAACGCAAGTATGTGGCCTGTCTACGAGGTTATTGAGCGAGACTAACGCTGTGTTGATATATGGCCGAGTTCACCTTTATTCTTATATGGTTGCAAATAGGAGATTTGTGTACAAAACGGGTGGTAAACAATGCGATTTCTAAAATAAGAATATCAATACGGTTTGATCTGCGTAGAACGTTTGATAAACTACGACCTTTCACGAACGATTCAATTGTAACTTAAGTAAGGGTACAACCTTCAAATCGTGCAAATCGTATCTAAGTTATAGGAAACATCACAAAGTTGCTCCAGAAAGATCTATCACATTTAAGCTAGAGTTTTCAGTATTTAAAACTACATGACCAGAGGTAACTTAATTTAATTAAATGCTTTAAATACAAAAGACCGAAAAATAAGAACAAAACTATTAATGAGGTTTTAGAGCACAAACTAAGATTCAATAGACTACGACATGCTGCAAGGTTCTATCTTCGGACCTCAAATTTTTACTTATTTCATAAATGACACCATTGCTAATTTTAGCAAATCTAAAACACCCACTATTGTCTGCTCGAAAAACAATGGAACCAAAATAATTAAATTATGTTGAATGACTCCCCCTAGGGTAAAAAAAGAACATATTAATAGCGTTCAGTTAGAAACTTAGTAGTCTAGTTGGAACTAATGTACAATTGTGTGATTAAATTCATATTTAGATAATTTTATGTTATTTATATTGTGACCTCTCGCATTACCTGTCACGCAAGATGGGTCGACAACATCGAAATAAATCCGTACCTGTATAAATGAGTTCTCAGACATCAAAAAAACTCATTTAAATATTATTAGAGTCGACTTTTAGTAAACTGAAACGACTTCACAAAACGAAATGGCCCAGAATAATGTATACCAAACAATTTACAGCTAAAACAAGGACTTCGCATAGAAATAGTTGCACGATCGCTATACACTATAATGACAACCAACATTAAATAGTTGGAATAAAATTAATTTTCTGATGTAAACATTGATCATTATATTGGCTTCACCTATTGAACGTTTATGCCAAATTGGCTACAGTAGTGTTATGGTAATGGATACTGCTAATGCCGCTTTCCAGTAAACTAAAAGTCCTACCAAGTCAAGTAGTGCAGTTCTCACTTTTTTTATGCAAAAATCAATTCTATTTTCCGCAATTGAAGCCAAGTCGCAACTACATTAATGCAAAATATAGTCCGGAAACGTTCGTTGTATAGCGAAAGAAATTTCATCAAGTTGGAAGCCGTTCGGTAATTCAACGTTTTTTTAAGGCACTGTTTGAGTCATTACTCATTATTATGTATTACATTATTTTAAGTACTGTAATTCAGTATTTTGTAATGAAGATAAATTTTACTGGAAGCCGACCTGTTTCACAACAGCGACAATTGCGATAAAAGTAATTGCAAAATATCATGATCAGGGGGCAATAAAACTGTCCATAGTTAAATACAGGATGAGGCAGATAATTGTCTTCGAATAACCGAGATATGTATGGACTGCCAAAGCTTTACTAGGAAAAATATTGGATAACAAAAATTATAATAAAAACAAAATCAAGGCAAATTCATAAACCATAAGAATAAAAGGATGTTATGTTACAAAATTTATATCGCATACTAAGCAAAATTTTCAAATGCAGTCATCAAATTTTGGTTAGCGTTTTACCATCTATACGATAGTCCTAGCATACACACAAACAGACAGACAGACAGACAGACAGACGGAAACAGAAAAGCAATTTTTCATAATCCAAGAAATACGTTTTTTTAAGCCATATCTTCAATGAGAAATTACCTATAACCCCAATCAATACATTCTGACGAAAATGGAAAGAAAAATTCAAAACAAGATAAAAGAAGAGGCAACAAAAGAGAGAAATAAAGGAAAAATGGTTAGAATGGGATATAAAAAGAAGGCAGAAATTTTTTAAGTAAAGAGCCAAAAGAAAAGAAAGAAAATGAGAAAAAATGGAAGGAAACAAGGCAAAGGCAAAGGAAACAAGGCAAAGGAAAAGGAATAATGGATGCAAATAGGGAAATCGAAAAAAGGGAAGCTGGTACAAAATTAGGAGAAAAAGGGGTGAAGGTACTGTTTTGGAATGTCCAAAGGTTGCGAAAAAAGGAAAAGGAGTTCTGGAACTACGTGGGAAAATTTAATGTTGTGGAGCTTGTAGAGACTTGGGTACAAAGAGAAAACTGGGAGAAATTAGAAGAGACACTACCACAAGAATATATGTGGGAGTGTGAAGGGGCGACAAAGGAAAAGAAAAAGGGGAGAGCAAACGGGTGAATAGTAATGGGAATTCGAAAAGCAATGCAAGAATTGGAAAAGGGAAGTAATAATAAAAATGGACTAATGAAGAAAATAATTCAGCTGGATAACAATCGATGGGAAATAATAATCGTTTATAGCAAGAAAATGGAGGAAACCACGATAAACATAGAAAAGGAAACAAAAGAAAAAGGAGATGAAAAAATACTTATAGGAGATTTTAACGCAAGATTGGGCGATAAGAGGACAAGAATAATAGATAAAGAAAAGGGAGAGAAAAGAGGATCAAAAGATAAAGCAAATAACAAAGAAGGGAAAATATTGTGGAAGATAATATAAGAATTAGGATGGGAAATTTTGAATGGAAACAAGGAAAGAGATGAAGAAGGAGAATGGACGTACGTAGGGGCCAAGGGAGAATCAATTATAGACTATGGGATTGTCAACGAAGAGGCGTGGGAAGAAATAAAGAGTTTCAAAGTGGAGGAACGGGCAGAATCAGACCACATGCCACTAGAAATAAAAATCAAAGAAAAGAGCAAGAGTACGAAAAACAAAAAAGGGAAGAAACGAAAGAAAATAAATAGAAAAAAGAATATGGGATGAAGAGGGAATTCAAAGATACAGAAGTAGACTAGAAAAAAAGAAATTCGAAGTAAAAGAAGATATAGAAGCTATGATAGCAGAACTGGGCAACCTAAGTGTAGAAGCTACGGAAAAAAGAAAAATATACATATGGCAAGGGAAGAATAATGGATGGAACGGAGAATGTAGTGAGTTGAAGAGAAAAGCAAGGGAAAAATTAAGAAAATGGAAGAATAACAAGGGAAGGAAAGAAGAGTACCTAAAAGCAAGAGAGAATTATAGGAGAAAATGGGAAGAAAGAAAAAGAGAAAAACGAGAAGAAGAAGAGAAGACAATAAAGTCCCTGAAAACACAAGAATAAGTATGGAGATATAAACGAGAAACGGAGACGGAAGACTGTAGTCAGTAGGAAAATCAAAATACCTTAATGGAAAAGAGGTTGTGAGGAAAAAATGCTGCAAAATAAATAAAGGAATCACAACGACGGAAGAAATGTGGAGAGGTTCGGAAATAACGGACCATGAAAAAGGAAGACAGACTGAAAGACTGAAAAGAGGAAAGGCACCAAGAAGGGATGGAATCCAGGACGAAACGTGGATGTTCGGGAAAGGAGTGATAGAAAATAAATGGGAAGTGGTAGATGGAATTTTCAAGGGAAAAGGGTTTCCTCGGCAGTGGAGAGAAGGTATAATAATCCCATTATTTAAAAAGGGGCAAAAAATTGATTTGAAGAACTACCGAGGGATCACCTGCTCAATAGGGCGTACAAGATATACGCAATGATACTAGATGAGAGGTCACGAAACGAGATGGAAGGAGGGGATATGTTACCAGACGGTCAGGAAGGGTTTAGGAAAGGAAGAGATACTATGGACAATGTGTACATCCTGCGGCATTTAGTGGGAAGAAAAGTAAGGAAAGAGGGTAGACGAATGTACGCATTGTTCGTAGATTTCAAAGCAGCGTTTGATAGCGTGAATAGAGAGAAAATGTGGGAGTATTTGAGGAGAAAGGGAGTAGATGCGTACCTGGTAACGAAAATGGAAAAATATATGAAGAAACAGTAAATAAGGTGAGAGTGAATGGAAGAGAGAGCGCGAGTTTTTATACCAATAGAGAAGTGAGATAGGGATGCCCACTCAGTCCCGTATTGTTTGCAGCTTATCTGGAAGATATAGATGAAATGTTCAGAAAAGCACAGACAGGAGGGGTGGTAGTGGGCAAAGAGAAAGTGTGGTCGTTGGCATACGCAGATGATTTGGTGATTGTGGCAAAGAAAAGAGAAGAAATGAAAACAATGATTAAAAGTTTCGAGAAATATGTAAAAAAAAAACGAATTGGAAGTGAATGTAGAAAAAACAAATATGGTGGTGTTTGGACAGAAAGTAAGAAAGGAAAAGGAAGAGTGGGCATGGAGAGGGAAGAACATTGAACAGTGGAAAGAATTCCAGTACTTAGGATATACATTAAAGAGCAATAACTCAGATAGAGCGCTTATTCAAGAAATGGTCCGAAAAGCGAACAAATTGATAGGAATACTATGAGGAATAGGAGAAAGAAAATTTGGACACGATTATAAGAAAGAATGATGATGTTGATTTTTGATCAAAAGTGTATTTATGTACGGAGCTGAGATTTGGGGATGTAGGGAATATGAAGAAATAGAGAGAGTACAAGAAAAATACTTAAAATGGACACTGGGATTGGAAAAGTGTACGCCGGGGTATACAGTGAGAGAACAAACAAAAAGGGAGAAAATGAGAGTGGAAACGGGTAAAAGGGCGGTTGAATTTGAAGAGAAGTTTAGTGAGAGAGGTAAAATATTGCAAGAATGTTGAAAAGAAATAAGAAATGAATTGACATGTACTGTTTTTATTGTTTCATTGTGAGAATATGACGGCAGTGACAAATAACACTTTTAAGTCATGTGTAACGATAAATAAAATTAACGTAAAATTTAAAATTTTCCACTAATTGGACTGCTTATATTAGTTGTTCTGGCGACGATATGATATC